CGGTCCTCAGATCTCAGCCTCCTGAGTAGCTAGGATTACAGGCGTGAGCCACCAGCGCCCGGCTGTGAGAAGCTTCTTAAAAGAGAACAGGGAAAAATGGAAAAACTCTATCTTGTCTTAATGATCTGAGTTCCTCCCTCCCTCCATTTCCCGTGTGAATTATAGCAAGAAGACTCAGTTTAACACCAATAAGTTTTGCTTTCTGACACCTTCCTTCTTACAGCCTTCAACTCCACACAAGCTTCTAGCTTGCTATTTTCAGTATTTCTCAAGAAATGGGGCAGGACAAAAGGCATTTTAGGGATGGAAGAGAAACAGGATTACTCTAGAAAAAGTAGAAAAAGGTACAGATTTACAGCGAAGGAAGCCTGTTCTCTCCACTCCACAGCTTTTAAAGACCCACCCCCACGCTCCACCACTTTTTGTTGCCAGTTCTGGGGCTTGAACTCTGGGCCTGGGTGCTGTTCCTGAGCTCCTTTAGCTTGCTCAAGGCTAGCGTTCTACCACACTTGAGCCACAGCACCACTTCCAGCTTTTACTGTGATTAATTGGTGATAAGTCTCAGGACTTTTCTGCTAAAACTGGCTTTGAACCTCAATCCTCAGATCTCAGCATTCAGAGTAGCTAGGATTACAGGCGTGAGTCACTGGCTCCTGGTCTAAGACTTCCACATTAAGGGTATGCAGGGAACATCACAGCTTTAGAATAAGGAAAAGTCAACTGACCACATCTAGATGTTGGATTACCCAGGAGAAAAAATAGGGGACAGAAGGGGTACCTGGATCCTAGATAAAGTATTACAAGCCTAGAAGTCTGTTCTATCTAAGCAAATAAAATGGGTTTTACCTTTGGGATTAGACATAGACATGGTAAACTATGTGCGCTCAAAAAGTGTGAAATAACAATGATACAAAAAACGGGGGCTGATGGCTCAGTGGTAGAGCGCTTGCCTTGCATGCCTGAGACCCTGGGTTTGATTCCTCAGCACCACATAAGCAAAATGAAAAAAGCCAGAAGTGGCACTGAGGCTCAAGTTGTAGAGCGCTAGCCTTGAGCTGAAGAGCTGAGGGACAATGCCCAGGCCCAGAGTTCAGGCCCCACGACTGGACCCAAACAAAATAAAACCAAAAAACGGGGGCTGGGAAGGTGGCTCAGTGGTAGAGCGCTTGCCTTGCATGCCTGAGGCCCTGTGTTTGATTCCTCAGCACCACATAAGCAAAAAGAAAAAAAGCTGGAAGTGGCACTGTGGCTCAAGTGGTAGAGCACTCACCTTGAGCTGAAGAGCTGAGGGACAGCACCCAGGCCCAGAGTTCAGGCCTCACGACTGGCAAAAAAAAAGACAAACACCATACTTGGAGGTTAGATTCTCCCCCTTCCCCTTCTTCTTTCTTCTCCTCAGGGGAGGGGAGGATGGTACTAGGGCTTGAATCTAGGACACTGACCTCTCTCTCAGATTTTACTCATGGATGCTGATCTACCAACTGAGCCAATGCCTTCAGTGTGGCTTTTTGCTGGCTCATTTGAGACAGGGTTTCATAGAGACTTTTCAGAACAGTCTGACTTCAAATCCTAATCTTACCGGTCTCACTCTCTCTCAAGCAGCTACGATTATAGGTGTGAGCTACCAGCAACTCAGCTGGAACTTAGTCCTGAACTGCAGAAATGGAAAAAAGGTTAACAAGAAAAAAAAAATCCTTACATATTGAGAAACACTTTATATTTCTGGAAGGTCATGGAAGATAAGGAGCCATTGCTTCTTCACTGACATCCTGGGGTAGAAATTCTTACAGAATCTATAATCTCTCTCAGCACAAAAAGAATAATTCTGATTGTTTTCTTATAATGACAGTAAGGGGGGAAAAAAGAAAAGAAAAGGAAGCTAATCCAGAGATTGGAGTCTGAAGTTAAAGAAAGGGAGGAGGCAGAAGACTGATGAGAAGAGGAAAAGTCACTCAAATTGTACAGTTTGAAGAGATGAAAGTTTAACCAATTTTCTCTTCTATTCCTCAGTTCTACAAAGTCTCAGATGAAGCAAAATTCAAAAATGGGCAAACCTTTGGATCTGCTCTCCACAGTATAGTTTTGCTGAAGTGGTCTCTGCTTTCTTCACCCATGATAGATTTATTTAGCCAGGCAGGTTTTCATACAAATAACTAACACAGAATCTAATTATGGAGCTGGGCTCACGCCTGTAATCCTAGCTACTCAGGAGGCTGAGATCTGAGGATCAAGGTTCAAAACCAGCTGGGGAGAGGAGGGGGTGGGGGAGAAGGTCTGTGAGACTCTTATCTCCAATAAACCACTCGAAAACCCAACCCGGAAGTGGCGCTGTGGCTCAAGCAGTAGAGCACTCACCTTGAGCTGAAGCAAGCTGAGGGATAGTGCCCAAGCCCAGAGTTCAAGCCCCATGACAAAAAAAAAAAAAAAAAATCATCTAGTTGTGGAAGCAAAGATTCCAGGTAAGGTACCAGGCTTTTAAGTTTTATGACTTCACACCTCCCCTCCACTAAAAAAATAAACCAAGCTTTTATAGATATCCAAGTATAAAGACTAAAAGGAGAAATACAACACTAACACATAAAAAATACTAAATACTAGGTCTCAAGTACAAGCAAGCAGCCTGCTTGGGCTTACTATACTTTTCTAATCAGGAGTCTCAGCAAGAAACATCACTGCCAAAACATCAATGGCATATTTAAATGAAACAGAATAAACTAGCATCCTAATTTGACTTATTGGGCTTGATAAGAAAGTAGAGGTAGGGTTTAGAATGTACCTTAGTGCTCAGTGGTAGTGTTTGTCTAGCATGTCCAAGGCATTGGGTTTAATCCCCAGTACACATACACACAAGCCAGGCGGTTATTTTACTAGCTCATGCCTCTAATTCTAGCTACTCAGGAAGCTGAGATCAGAGAATCAGCCAGAAAGGTCCATGAGATTCTATCTCCAAATTAGCCAACAAAAAAACCAGGCTAGACATATGGCTCAAGTAGTAAAGCACCAGTGGAACAAGTATAAGGCTATGAGTTCAAACTCTAGTACTGGCAAACAAACACAAACAAACAAACAAGAAGCATCTAGTCCCACTGCTTATGTATCAATGATGTAGGTAATGATGCTAAATATCTGACATCTGTCATGCTGTATCTAAGGAATATCCAGGCTATTTACCTACACGAACTATATAACCAACAAGGCTGGTATTAGTATCATGCTAGGCCATCCTGGAAAATAGGGCTCTTCTTACTGTGGGATTCTGACACATTTTTTCCAACAACAAGGCATACAAAAGAAGTTTATCAGTCATTAGCCTTTATGGTTATATCCTTTGCAGTTCCTAAAACTTCCGAAGTTTTCTCTATTTTATCTCATGATCACTTTAACCTGCTGAAGCAAAAATTCAAGGGATAACTTGTCCTCTTCACAAAGTGTAAACATGAGAATAAACAGGCTTAGAAGGTAGACTCAATCCTCTTTCTTATCTTCTTTTCCAAAGGATAAAAGAATTATGGCTCTAATATTTGCCCCTGAAGCTCCCCTCATCTGGTCTGATCTGGCTTTGAGAACTTAAAGGAGCACCTAATAAAACACATTGTTCTATTTTCTCTCTCTTTTTTTTTATTAACAAGCAAAATAATTAAAAACAAAAACAAAACAACCTTAAAGTTGGAACAGCAGTAAGTCCAATTGTTGCTGGAGTTCACAGATGCGTCTGGGGTACATACTCCCTCATTGAGAGCAGGACGTAGTAGACATGTGACTGTGCATTTAGATATATATGTAACCAATAAGAAACAGAAATGGAAACCACTGGAGAACAGAAAGCATGAAGAACTTTTCATCATGCAATCCCAAAGCGTTCTGCTCTTTTCCTCTTCTTTGCCTGTGAGGAAAAAGCAAGAAGAAAAACATTTGATCGTAAAACAATAATGGCCTAGGTTCCTGGTTGCTTTAACCCAAACTCACATGAATCGTCACAAGGCCAGAGGAATGATGACTCAAGACTTTAACCCAAAGACCTCATTCCTGAGTCCTTCTAGTTATCCAGTTCAAGCTGGGAAGATTTAGTGAAAAAGGAGAATGAGGAGGAAATATTATTAAGATGTGAGACAGGAGGGGAGAAAGAAATGATGGAAAGGGGAAAGATTTTATGAAGGAACAGAAGTGACACTCATTTCTAGTCTCAGCAATCAGAAGGCTGAGGTAGAAGGATAATAAGAAGTTCAGGGCCAGTCTGGGCCACAGAGTGAGACCCTGTCTCACTACATAGAAAAAGAAAAAAATCTTGCAAAATGGCAGCTCTACCTTAGAAAAAGCTATTCTGGAAATTCTAAGTCCTGACCAGGCTGAGAAAGTCTTCCACTCCGTGCAGAGCTGGGAGATTTCAGAGGACAAAAGGGTTAACCAGTGCTATTCAATAAGGGAATATTCTGTTTTAAGCAGTGGCAACACCTTTGAGCCTCAGGACTCCAATCCAGAGAAGTATGTAAATCTTCAATGCCTACAGTATAAATTAGTGGAAGCTGGGCTAGTGGCTCATGCCTGTAATCCTAGCTACTTAGGAGTCTGAGATCTGAAGATACAGGTTCAAAGCTAGCCCAGGCAGGAAAGACTGTGAGACTCTTATTTCCAATAAACCACCAGAAAGCTGGAAATGGCACTGTGGCTCAAGTGGTAGAGTGCTAGCCTTGAGCTGAAGAGCTGAGGGACAGAGCCCAGGCCCAGAGGTCAAGCCCCACAACTGACAAAAACAAAAACAAAAAATATGGCACAAAAGTGGACAGCAAGGCTGGACAAAAAACAAAAACAAAACAAAAAAACACTCTAGCCCTTCATCCTCCAACACACAGGAGACTTTTCAACCCAATTACATAGAAAATTTAGTACAGATAGATTCCCTTCTTCATTCCTTCCACTCAGATGAGTTTTCAATTATGGCTGGCACTCTACCACTTGAGTCATGTCTCCAGCCTAGCTTTTCGCTGGTTAATTGGAGATTGACTGTCATAGAGTATTCTGATCTGGGCTGACTCTGAACTTCAATCCTTAGGTCACAGTCTCTTGCATAACTAGGATTACAAGTGTAAGCCACCAGCACTCAGCATAATGATTGTGTGTGTGTGTGTGTGTGTGTGTGTGTGTGTGTGTGTGTGTGCACGTGTGTGTGCATGCATGCATGCCAGTCCTGAGTCTTGAACTCAGGGCCTGGGTGCTGTCACTTGCTTTTTTGCTTAAGGCTAGCACTGTACCACTTGGGCCACACTTCCACTTTCAACATTTTGGTGGTTGATTGAAAAGTCTCATGGGTTTTCCTTCCCAGACTGGCTTTGAACCACAGTCCTCAGATCTCAGCCTTCTGAGTTACTAGGACTATAGGTATAAGCCATGGCTGCCTAGCTTAATCTTAAAAGAAAGGTGAATATAGGAAGTGGAGGCACTAAAAAAGCTAAGTAAGAGCCCAGCCATACCATCATGAGACTCAAACAAAAATCTGATTCATGTGAACTTCATCAGCTTTAGAAGTTTCTATTCCTTTACATACACTACCTCTTCTAACAAAAGCCACTGTACCATGCCAGAAAAATCTTTGTCCTCCTTAACTTGGGAGAGAACAAATGTATTTACTTAGTGAACATGCTTGATTTACAATAGTTTCCCCTTGTAAGAAGAGACTAATTCTAAGCAGTTAAAACAAGTATAAGTTTACTTCATGATCATCCTGATAAATAAGTATGTAACCAGATACTTAACGTAAGTATTTTATACTCAGTAGTACAAAGACTTTAAATTCCTTTTGTTTTTTTCCTAGTGGTGAATGTAAACTGATCTGCCCTATTCATAAAACTACAGGTCTTATTATGGCTTTTATAAGGTGATGGGTAGAGCTCATGCCTGTAATCTTAGCTACTTAGGAAGCTGACATCTTAGATCACAGTTCAAAGCTAGCCCAGGCAGGAAAGTAAGACTCTTATTTCCACTAAACTACCAAACAAGCTAGAAGTAAAGCTGTGGCTCAAGTGGTAGAGTGCTAGCTTTGAGCAAAAAGAAGGTCATTAGACAGACCTCAAGCCCTGAATTCAAGCCTCCAGGACTGGCACGGAAATAAAAAAGAAAGGAAGAAAAAAAAAAAAAAAGACCATGGGGAAGCAAATAAATTTTAGAGGCTATCTCTCCAGATGTTGACAGAAGAAAATCTAGATTATGGAGGTAAGATACAACATTATAAATACCTTGACACTCAAGAAGCTTCTTGTGGGCTGGGAAGGTGGCTCTGTGGTAGAGCACTTGCCTTGCATGCCTGAGGCCCTGGGTTCGATTCCTCAGCACCACATAAGCAAAAAGAAAAAGCTGGAAGTGGAGCTGTGGCTCAAGGGGTAGAGCGCTAGCCTTGAGCTGAAGAGCTGAGGGACAGCGCTCAGGCCCAGAGTTCAGGCCCCACGACCAGACCCCCCAAAAAAGAAGCTTCTTGTAAGTCTACAGATATAATTTCAACTGTCCTTTATATATACTTCTGCTGATACCCACATACTATTAGAGATATGATACTCAAATCAATAAATTATCAATGATCGATCTCAGTGAATGTCAATTACTCCAGGGGAGTCTGAGGTATAGATAAACAGGTCTTTTAAAAAGCTACAATGAGCCCAGGGCTCAAGCCTATAATCCTAGCTACTCAGAAGGCTGAGATCTGAGGATCATGGTTCAAAGCCAGCCTGGGCAGGAAAGTCCATGAGATTCTTATCTCCAATAAACCACCAGAAAACCAGAAGTGGCCCTGTGGCTCAAGTGGTAGAGTGCTAGCCTTGAGCTGAAGAGCTCAGGTACAACGCGCCCAGGCCCAAAGTTCAAGACCCATGACCACCCCCCCCCCAAAAAAAAAGCTACTGGGGCAGGGCACCAGTGGCTCACACCTGTAATCCTAGCTACTCAGGAGACTAAAACTTAATTATAAACAAAGTGTAAGAATAAGAAGCCTCACTTGTGTCCACTATCCTATTCCAGAGGGGATTTAGGCACAACTATTCTTGTGCTTAGGTTGGAGGTGGCTTTCATTAAATGATCAAAGGAAAAGGAAACATGCCCAGCAGAAAATAATAATAAACACTATTGAGTAAACACTTTTGAATACTTACAACATGTCAGGCCATCATTCTTAAGCACTTTGAATAAAGCCATCCCTTTTTTACATAGAATCGTTTCACTCCATTCTGAAAATCCTAGTCTGAGGTAAGCATATTATCTCTACTTCTTAGACAGTGAAACCAAAGTACTCTATAAGTGGCACAGTCATTAAAACAAGCATTTATGACAGCAAATCCATTGCTGTACTAAGCTAAATATGGAAATAAATTCATTGGTGGAATTCGGTATAACTTCAACCTAGAAAAAAATATCAAGCAAAAGGAATACCTTGTTATTTGGGCACTTAAGAAATAGGATGGAGAAATAAAGGTGTTTTTTCCTCTCCAACATACTCGTCCTCATTTATTTCACTTTAACAGGTCTCTAAAGCATTCTATTTTACCTCTGTATCCTCTGTGGTTCCAGTTCCAGCTGAACTTGTGACAATCCCAAATCGTTCTTTCCTCTTTTTTAGTTTCTCATCATCTTCAGACTGTTCAAAGACAAAAACAGAACAACCAGCTAAAAGAAACCAGTCTTTTATTCATAAAATACACAGAAATAGGGTTTTAATTTATGGGTTACAACATGTAAGCCAGCTTTATACCCAAGAACCAAGGATCATACAAACAGAACAACAGGTGATAAAATGAATACAGATGGTGTTATGATTTGGATAGGTTTGTCCCCAAGGGCTCATGTGTTGGAAGCTTTTTTAATATGGTTGTGGTGGAGAAAGATAGTGAAACCTTTATGAAGTAGAGCCTTGTGGAAATTTTGGTTAGGTCATTGGTAGCATGATCTAGAGGGGATTAAGTATTCCTTTGGGATCTTGAGTTCTTGTGAGTGAGTTATTCTAAAAGCAAACGTAATCCAAGTCACATTCTGACTTTTTTGGTGGGGGTTCTAGGGCTTGATCTCAGAGCCTCTGAGTTTTTGCTCAATACTAGTACTTTACTATTTGAACTACAGTTCCACTTCTGGTTGTTTTGGTGCTAAATTGAAGAGAAGCGTCTTAAGAACTTACACACACACACACACACACACACACACACACACACACACACACACACGCACACACACGCACGCACGCACACACACAGCTTGCTTTCTAGTGAGTAGAAAGGATATTAAGAAAGCCGGAGGTGGCGCTGTGGCTCAAGTGGTAGAGCACTAGACTTGAGCTGAAGAGCTGAGGGACAGCGCCCAGGCCCCACGACCGGACCCCCCCCCCAAAAAAAAAGGAAAGCTTGGAGCCCGGCGCTGGTGGCTCACGCCTGTAATCCTAGCTATTCAGGAGGCTGAGATCTGAGGATCGCGGTTCAAAGCCAGCCTGGGAAGGAAAGACTGTGAGACTCCTATCTCCAATAAACCACCAGAAAACCGGAAGTGGCACTGTAGCTCAAGTGGTAGAGCGCTCGCCTTGAGCTCCAGAGCTGAGGGACAGCACTCAGGCCCAGAGTTCAAGCCCCATGACCGACCAAAAAAAAAAAGCAAGCAAGCAAGCAAGCAAGCAAGCTTGGGTGCTGTGAGTGAAAAACCTTACACATTAAATTTTTTCATCTTAGATATTATTATTAAGATCAACTATTACCTACAGTTTTTCTACCTTTTTCATTACAACCACCAATCAGTCTACAATGGGTACCCAATGCATAAAATATAAACTGGAAAAACCAGGTACTAAGTATGTATGTCCTTAATCATAAAATAACAGTAATAATAGTAAAATATAGACACTAACATTTGAGTGCTTTCTATCTGCCACATACAAATTGTTTTTGTTTGATATCTTTATTCTGGTAATAATCCTATGAAGTAGGTACAAGATTAGATTCACGTAATACATATACAAACTAAAGCTAAAAAAATTAATCTCAGATGGGCACCGGTGGCTCATATCTGTAATCCTAGTTACTCAGAAGGCTAAGATCTAAGGATTTCAGTTAAAAGCCAAGAGGAGCAGGAAAGTCTATTAGATTCTTATCTCTAATTAATCAGCAAAATGCCCAAGTAGAGCTGTGGCTTAAGTGGTTGAGTGCCTGCCTTGAGCACAAAAGCTCAGGAACAGCACCAAGGATCAAGGCCCTGAAGTCAAACTCAGTACCAGCACCTGTGTACATGCATGTGCGCACATGAGTACACACACACACACACACACAAATTTACCTCAAAAAACACCAAATTGTACAGCCAGGATTAAAATCTGATCAAGACTCATCATACCTACAAAGTGACATGTTGAATTAAAAACCCTTTATTCAGATTAAAGACTTATGCACTTTGCTCAAGTACACACTTTTCCTAACTTTGCTATCTAACACAGTATTTCTTTGGATGAATAGTAGCAGAATAAGTGCTTAATTCCCAAGGAAGAAGATCACCAAGAATCCTAGTTAAAAGTATTTGTGAATTAATTACTTCTATATGATTTATATAATTGAAGCAGTATTAGCATCCTTTTACCAGAGTAATTGCTTCTACTTTATAAACTAAGAACCTAGGGAAGGTACTTCAGGTAGAAATATAAGGTCATCCACAGTCAAGATATGGAATCATTCCAGATGCCCCACAGTGGACAAATAGATCAAGAAAATATGGTAGGGGCTGGGAAGGTGGCTCAGTGGTACAGTGCTTGCCTTGCATGCATGAGGCCCTGGACTCCATTCCTAAGCACCACATAAGTGTTAAAAAAAGCTGGAAGTGGTGCTGTGGCTCAAGTAGTAGAGTGGTAGCCTTAAGCTGAAGAACTCAGGGAGAGCACCCAGGCCCAGAGTTCAGGCTCCATGACTGACAAAAAAAAAAAAAAAGAAAGAAAGAAAAGAAAATGTGGTAAATATACACAATGGAATGCCTCCATCAGAATGATATTGAACTATTCATAAGGAAGTGGAAAGATTTGGAAAAAATTATATTAAGGGAAGTAAACCAGACCTAAAGAAACATTGTTTCCCTCATTTGTAGTTACTAAAATGTGCCTATAGGGGCTGGGAAGGTGGCTCAGTGGTAGAGCACTTACCTTGCATGCATGAGGCCCTGGGTTCGATTCCTCAGCACCACATAAGCGGGAAAAAAAAAGCCGGAAGTGGCGCTGTGGCTCAAGTAGTAGAGCACTAGCCTCAAGCTGAAGAGCTGAGGGACAGCGCGCAGGCCCAGAGTTCAAGCCCATGACCGGACCCCCCCCAAAAAAAAATAAAATAAAAAATAAAATGTGCCTATAAATCTACAAGTTAACACACTCAATGTACAAGACAAAAAATAAACTGTGATATGATAAATTATACAGGACTCTAGACATTTATATCCTGAGACCAAAGGAGGATATCCTTAAGAGAGGACCACGAAGGCCCAATATCTATGTGTGTATGATCATATAAAATAACATTTATCAAAATGAACTCCATGAAATAGAAACAAGGTTATTTTCCTTTGTTGCTGTTTTATCTTTTGTCTTGTTTGTAAATTTTGGGGAAAGTAGAGGGGGACACAGAAAGGGAACAAAGGAACAAAGGGGGAACAAATGCAGCAGCACACTATAATGTCACTAGACACTATGTTGAAAAGGAACTATACAACTTGTGGGTGGGGATGGGAGGGGAAAACAGTGGGAGCCAGGAAAGGGGGTGACACTGTTCAAGAAGAAATGTGCTCATTACCTGACTTATGTAACTGTAACCCCTCTGTACATCACCTTCATGTATTTATGTAGGTTTCCCTCAGCTGAATTTGTTTCTAACTTTTGGTAAGGAGCCATTCCAGGTGTTCAAATGTAATAAAGAATTATAAGAAGCCAGGCGCCGGTGGCTCACTCCTGTAATCCTAGCTACTCAGGAGGCTGAGATCTGAGGATCATGGTTCAAAGCCAGCCCAGACAGGAACATCTGTGAGACTCTTATCTCCAATAAATCACTAGAAAACCAGAAGTGGCGCTGTGGCTCAAGTGGTAGAGAGCTCGCCTTTAGCTGAAGAGCACAAGGACAGAGCCCAAGCCCAGAGTTCGAGCCCCACGACTGACCAAAAAAAAAAAAGAATTGTAAGAGCCAGGTACTAGTGGTTCATGTCTGTAATCCTAGCTACTCAGGAGCTGAGATCTGAGGATCAGAGTTCAAAGTCAGCCGGGGCAGGAAAGCCCAAGAGACTTTTATCTTCAACTAACCACCAGGAAACTGGAAGTGGCACTGTGGCTCAAGTGATAAGAGCCTTTAGCTGAAGAGCTCAGGGACAGTGGCCAGGCCCAGAGTTAAAAAAAAAAAAAGTAAGGAACTGTAACCCACAACTGGACAAAAAAAAAAGAAGCTCAGGGACAACGCCCAAACCCTGAGTTCAAGCCCCAGGACTGGCAAAAGAAAAAAAAAAGAGCATTTCTTCTTGGAAAAAGGCAAAATGAACATTATACTGAACAACCACTATAAACATTTTTGTTGCTGTTGTTGGTCATGGCTGAGTGCTATCCTTGAGCTCTTTTTGCTCAAGGCTAGCATTCTACCACTTTGAGCCACAGTTCAACTTTCAGTTTTTCGGTGGTCAATTGAAGATAAGAGTCACAGATTTTCCTGCCTGGGCTGGCTTTGAACCACAACCCTCAGATCTCATCCTCTAGAGTAGCTAGAATTACCGGCATTGACACCAGTGCCTAATTTTTTAAAAAACTAATTCAGTTCAGTGCTAAGTATACTTCAGTATTCAGAGAACATATTAAATCTCAAACCTAGCACAAACCTCAAGGCAACGTCTTTCACAAATCAAAAATGCCTATGTCTGGGGCTGGGAAGGTGGCTCAGTAGTAGAGCGCTTGCCTTGCATGCCTGAGGCCCTGGGTTTAATTCCTCAGCACCACATAAGCAAAAAGAAAATAGCTGGAAGTGGTGCTATGGCTCAAGTAGTAGAGCGCTAGCCTTGAGCAGAAGAGCTGAGGGACAGCGCCCAGGCCCAGAGTTCAGGCCCCATGACTGGACCCCCCCTCCAAAAAAAAAAAATGCCTATGTCTATCTGGAAGTAGGGGAGAGAGGAAAAGAGATAGCCTTTTCCCTTGTTCTTCATTTTGCTACATCCTAAAATGGCAAGTTTCAATTTGAAATTAAATTTTATTTCCTTTTGAGTTCAAAGGTAAAGCATGGAAAGTAGGAAAATAATGAGGACTCACTTCTCTAGCTACTAAGGCTAGCATCAGAGATTTCTCTATAACCTTTCTTTTCAAATCACCTCTCTGGAGGTCTAAGCAAAGTTTCTGCTCCAGACTTATTAGGAACTCTAGGGTGAAAACTAAACCTAATACAGCTTCCTAACTCCCTATAAACAGCCTGTCCTTCCCTCAACTAGTACCCTCAACTCCCCACTGTGGCCTCCTTCCTTCTTGCCCTGCAGGGAAGTGTACAACAACCTAGTAAATCAACACAGTTCTAATGATTTCTCTCATTTGACCCTCCTAAGTGTGACCATGTTCCATGGAAACAAAATACACAATAAACTTCATTCCATCTTTAGCTCCTTGCT